CGCACGGCTCCTGCATGACTGAGAGCTTTCCCGGTTCGTTCGTCTTCGCCTCAGCCGCCGCCTGCTACATCTTGGACGCTATTGACCACTCGCGTCCGAATGCCTGCACCTCGGCTTCCATGGAGACTTGAAGAGTTCCCATCAACATTTTTTTGTTGTTGTTGGTCCTCTGGTTCTCTCGTGTGTGTCCTTTTATTCTCTAATATTTATTGATCTATTCGTGGGGGGGATTCCTTTGAGTTTATTAAAGAGAGAGAATCGTGATTACACGTCTTAGGATTTCTTAGTGGTGAACGGGGCTAAAAGTTCTTGCGTTTATTGACAATTTCGATCAATCTCCCAGGCTGGAGCGAGGTAGGGGTGAGGCAAACGGACGAGGGGTTGTAGAGCGACCAATCGTGGCATCGTCATGCAGCAAGATCGGCCAATCAGGATGGAAATTGGGTCTGTTTGCTTGTGAACCTGGAGGCCATACTTACTTCCGAAACTTGCACATTTCTTAGAAAAAAAAGAAACTTCTCCTCGCTATGTTCGGGAGACTCATATACAAAGCCTTAAAAGAGTTGATATGTGACACATTCTCCTGGTTGGCAAGTGGCACGCTTCAATGTGCGGCTTCTCCAGGTGACAGCAGACAGCATAGGTAACATGTGAGTAAACAAACAAACAAATGAAGAGAACTATCCCTACCTACAGTCTACGTCACAAAATCCTTGAGCTCTTGACGCACACGGAAGTGCCAGTTATATTTACTATCTGATGATAGTAAGTATGGTACAGTTAATATATTACTATTTACATTTCTTTGGTACAAGAAAAAGAAGCTTTCTCATATCCTTACAAAGGTACATACAAGATCTACTCGTCAGCCGTATTGTGGAAACATGGAAAAAATGAGCCTTATTGCCGCCTTCCATACGACCTACTATCGCATGCGCCAGTCCAGGTCGTGCTGATGATGAAGCTATGATTCTGGCGATATTGACCTGCACGCCGGCTGCGCTCGCCGATAAGCCACAAAGCAGGTCACCTCGTGAAGCTTACCGACTCGGCCGACCGCTGGTCCAGTCGGCGAGTGTGCGGCCCCGTCCCCGCTTCCCCAGCTGCAAGGCGACGGGGAGAGGCTTCCTCAGCGGGGAGTGGGGCATGCGTGGGCATAATGATTGGGGGGGGGGGGGGTAGGTCTGTTTGGAGACTCGCGGTCACACTCGAACTGCGGGTTGACTCGGGGGCCCTCGGTGTCACTGTCACAGTAAGTCGACTCGAGGGCGCTCCACTGTTATCACTGAGTGTCGCCTTTTAGGTCTCTGCGAACTGCTTTCCGACGCAGCTCGTCAGAGGAAGTGGAGGGCCCGGCAACCCAGCACATTAGGTCCCCTCTCAGGGCCCGCTTCCCAGAGTCAAGCGCGGGTCCCTGCAGCCGGCACTCGACAGGCCCGCGAGAGGCTGAGGTCCACCACGACCGGCTGATGCGTGCCCTACAGAGCGCCGCCGCTCGCCGCCACCGGCCAGGCAGCGCCGACGACACAACTAACACAGTGTTTCACGTGATATCACCGGAAATAGCGTTTAAAACTTAGCATGATATGCAATAATTGTTGAGGAGACTTACACTAATTTTGTACAAAGTCCTGACGAACACGAACTTAACGGTCATTCCTCTATAAAGTACCTGTAGTCACAATGCTTGAGTACAGTCTAAGGATATTTCAGTTTTCAACATTGTAGGGCCAGACCGTATCTGCTAATGTTAGGCCAATTTTTCATAATTTTCTCGATCATTATTGACTGGGAGTGATCATCCGAGAGCGATGACACCGCGAAAAGTCACTGAACATTCTTATATTAAGGTTAATGACCCGAATTCTCTCGGGTCGCGAAGTCAAACGACCCCTGATGCCGTAGACGACGATTGTGGCCCTGTGCCTCCCTTGCCGGCACTCCCCTTCCAAGGAGAGGGGGCAGGGCAGACCTGGACCTCCCTGGCACTCTTCGAGCCTTCCGAGAGGAGCCTCTTGGTGAAGGCGACACGCCCCATGGCGTCCTCCGGCCACAGGAGCGGCGGCATCGGTTGCCCCGGGAGGCTGGGCAGGGCCGCCAACCCTACGTCATTCTTGGACCGCCGAATCGAGCCTTCGACGAGGCTCGGGCCGCGTACACCATTATTACTTGCTCACAGCTTAGTATCACTTGAGGAGAAAGCCCGGTGGGGCCGCCCAGGGAGACTACCCGCTCAGCCCTCTCGTCACTGAGTCAGCTGGCGGGTGGCTTGGTGGGCGTGGGCGGCAGCATAGGCATAACTATACGCCCATGAGGGGCCTGGCGCCATCCAGCGCTCGCCTACGTCCCCCTGGTCCGTCCAGGATGGGCGAGGCGTGGGCGGGCAGGGGTTGTTGTTGGAGGCGGAGTTGGAGGGGGGCCTGTTCCCCTGCTGCTGCTGTTGCTGCTGCTGGTGCTGGTGATGGGCGGAACGGCCTGGCAGGTCCATCGGGGGGCGGGCACCAGGGGAGGCCATCCACTACGGAACAGGCGTGTGCGGCGGCATCGGGGACGTCATCATGGAGCCCATGGAGGTGTGCACGTTGCCGCTGGCCATCTGCTTCTGCGTGGCGGCGAACTTCATCCGCTTCTGCTTCTGGCGCTGGTTGCAGAACCACACGCGCACCACGTTCTTCTTCAGGTCGAGCTTCTCGGCGATGGCGGCGATCTTCTCCCCGGACGGGCGGGGCTGCACCGCGAAGTAGGCCTCCAGCGACCGCTTCTCAGGGGCGGCGATCGACGTCCGTTTACGCTTCTAACAGGAAACGAGAGACAAGACATTAGTAACCTGTAGGGCTCTGTTGGGTGCAGCGAAGTGCTTGAGAGGCCTGAGAATGCTACGCTGGGAAATGAAGCTCCCAGCTGTAAATACATCTATCCAGTGTCCTGTATTCAATTCGAAAGAATTACCCCGTCTCAGTCACTCCCTCTTATCTATCCAACCCCGGCAAATAAAGCAAATCCTTTCATCTATAAGAATTTCGTAGAAAACTCCATCACCATGAACCCCATGATCCCAAGAACCCTCGTGAATCAAACATTCCATTAAGATTTACAAATCCTTTTCCTCCTCCTTGAAGAGTGAATATCCACCTCGTACTAATCGTCGTGCACTACAACTTAATTATTACGTCATCATCTAAATGTGACTGGAACTACTATTTATCATCGCAAGCAGCCGTGCACCTGCCACTCCCCGAGACGAGGGCGCCGAAAGTGCGTGCGGGAGGCCATCGACATAGCCTGATGGGTCGGTTCCGAATGTGTGACAATCAGCCCGAATCGATAGGTTACGAGGGCGACCGACGGAGGCTCCCGTAACGCAGTGGATTCCTCTAAAAAAAGGCTAAAAAGGGCTTCCGATTCGCGGGGAAGGCGAATGGAGAATGAGCCATAATCATAACAATAACAATAATCGGTTAATGTGATACTGACGACATTCCGATCCGACCATCAGGGAAGCTCCGCGCAACTGTACTGATCTGTTAGGTGACCGTGCTGATCAGCGGAGGCCGTCAGCATACGACAAGCATCTCTCGTACAGTGCTGAATAAGGCTCAAAATAGCAGTTCAGGAGCGAGGCTCGTGGTCACCACCCATTAAAGCTGGTATTACTGATACTGATACTCATTACCATAATACTGGTAGCAAACAGAGAGGATCAAGACGAGGAAGAGGAGCGAAAATGATTGCGTAAGAGGCAAGGTTTAGTTGGTCTTTATATGCAGTAGCGATTAAGATAAAGTTTACGATTTAGTGAAGTAGATAGACAGGACAGCCACACAGTTCGAGAAATGATAACGCAATAGCGACAATGAATCGTTGCATAACCACTTCAACATCCTTATATTTTCTGTCCTTCCCTATCAACACTAGAAAAAACATCACTTTCTACCAACTGTTTTACGCCATCTCTCACAACCACTCCTCTTCATTCTTCTTCGACAACTCATTCTTTAAAAAAAAGGTCAACCAGCATTCAAATATTTCCTTCACACCCCTACCCTATTCATACCCCCTTGCTGACCCCCTGTAAAGACCCCATGGTGACCCAGTGGTGACCTCTAATTGGCCCCGCGGTGACCCCATGGTGATCCCTTGGTAGCCTCGTGGAGACCCCAAGGTAGCACCATGGTGACCCCTACGTAGCCCTGTGGAGGCCCCATGGTAGCCCTGTGGTGACCCCGCGTTGCCCCGGTGGTGACCCCGAGCCCGCGCTCCCCTTCGTCACATCTCCTGAAGGATCGGGCCTAAACTCCAGTCAAGTGACGGCCTCATCCTCACATCATCTACCTCGCCCATTGGGAGGACAGAGGGCGCGTCCGGATCCCGCCGCTTGTTCTTGGCCTGGGCTTCGGCTTCCTCCAACCACGCTTGCAACACGGGCTTCAGCGCGATCATGTTGTTGTGGGACAGCGTCAGCGATTCGAACCTGGCGGGTGAGAGGGGTTGGGAGACACGGGTTAGTTTCGGTTTATTTCGTTCATTTATTATTTTCATTAATGATCGTTTCTTTATAGTACGTTAAATGAAGAATATAATATATCTACAATATTACAATGATGCTAGTATAGTTCTACTACACTAACAAATAAGAGAGAGATGAATAATTGGAGGATAGAGACAAGTGCAAAGAGAGTAGAGATAGAGAGAGTGAGAGAGAGAGAGAGAGAGAGCGAGCGAGAGAGAGAGAGAGAGAGAGAGAGAGAGAGAGAGAGAGAGAGAGAGAGAGAGAGAGAGAGAGAGAGAGAGAGAGAGAGAGAGAGAGAGGAGGGGGGAGGTAGGGGAGAGGAGACAGAGAGAGGCGGGGTGCGGAGAAGAAAGGGAGAAGGGCAGTGAGAAGCATAATAATAACCTAACCTAACATAAAATACTCCCAAAGATTCGTTAACTCCACACTTCCACCTCTCAATATGCAAGGAAAAACCGACTCATCAAACACACACACACACACTGACACA